CTTTGGTTTGATTCCCGATGAAGGCATTTGCTCATTTTTCATCTTGCCTGCTTCCAAATCAACCTAATATCTCTACAGTGGCACCTGAACTAAAAGGGTGTTGGATGATGGATTGGACCCCCTAAAAACCCAGTCACCCATTAAAAATCAAAGTATATATGATATTTCTTCCACTTTCCTGGTGTGCCTTTGTGGTGTAATGGTTCTGCACGCTGAGCTGGTATTCCAGAGGTCCGTGGTTCGATTCCTGGCGAAGGTGATTGCTAATTTTTCATCTTGCCTACTTCCAAAAATTACCTAATGTCTCTACAAGGTGTTTTAGCATATACTGAATGAAGCATCATCTTGCCATTGTAGGAACATTTGTTCATCAGTTGTAACATTTTCATCTGTTTTGCGATACAATAAACAGTTCTCAATAAAGGTATTCAGTACCTCTGAAGTAGGAGCAAATGGATCAGTTTGAAATATTTGCAGTCAAATTGACTTCAAGTCAAAGCACAAATATTTTGTTATTTTGAAGAATCTGTCTCTAGGCATTATTTCATTAGAGAATTTTGGTCCCCAAAATTGGATTAAAATCAAAACAGGAAATTGTTTGGCATTCGAAGTCCCACAAGCATGGAATAGAAAAATAAAGACTCTAGCTCATCAAGTGACAAGTTCGACTTTTGATTTTCCGACTTTTGACATGCCTTGGTTTCAATGGATTGCTGTATATGATTCAGAATTTTTTCATTGAATAAAAGTCTCTGTTGATAAAAGTCTTACTTTTGTATTGCTGTATATGATTCAGAATTTTTTCATTGAATAAAAGTCTCCATTGATAAAGTCATTTCATTTATAAAAGTCTTACTTGTGTTCTCATCAGTTATTTTTCTTTTAGCAAAAGTATTTGGCCCAGCTGTTTTTTGCAAAATATTTTGAAGAGGTAGACTTCCAAGAGAATTTACTGAAATAATTTGTTTTTTCCACACTGTGTCATCATTTGTTATTTTTTCATCTTTTGATTTATTTTCTTCATTTTAAAAGCACCTAATTTGTCTTTGTTTTCTTAATGGGCAATGGCTTGTTCCACCCCTCTGAAGTCTTTGTCTTCTTTGACTAAATTTTCATTCAAGGTTAAATCTTTGACGTGTTTAATTTTCTTTTGATAGAATTTTATTTTTGGAATCTATTCAATATAAAAATGATGACGAATGTCTCGTAATACCTTAGAACCAGATCATGAAATGTTTTGGAACTTTTCTTTAGAAGGAATAATAGATTTGTCATTTAATGAATTGGATTTACTTGTTGTAATTGGAATAATCCAATATTCATCAGATGAAATTGAATATATTCCTGTATTTGATTCTTCATAAGAACTAATTTCCAAAGTAGAATTATCATGAGATAATTCTTGTAAAACTTTTACTATTTCTTCTTCTAATATCTTCACTCAACATTTCTACATGACATCATTAATAGGAAACAATTTAATGATAAAAAATATTGTCAGAAGCCTTAAACAATGGCAAACCAAATGTGAAGAACTTAATTAAACATTCAGATAACAAACATGAAATCCATTTGGGACATTACTACTTTGAGAAGGGAAACAATATCAAACTCTTATAACCACTTCTGCTACTAAAAGCAACTGCGGTGTTTTGTAATGATTACTGCCAGTAAGTGAGTTTGAATCCAAGCTTCTAGACACTCTATTATCTCCCTCCGTATTAGGCTAGAGGAGACAGGTGCTAACTACTAAGATAGACAAAAGCCAATAGGCTAAAAAAATAAGGCAGAGCACCTCAGCTGAGAAAGGGGGCCTCAAAGAAAACCAAATGGCTGAAAGAGGAGGAGTTGCCTTTGAGCTGAAAAAGAGAAGAAGCAAAGAGCTAAAAACTGGTCTAAGAAGCGGAGAACCTTTACAGTTAAAAAAAAGGGGGGGAACAAAAAAAGGGGGAAGGAGCAATAGAAAGGGAGAGCCTGCACAGCTAAAAACAGCCTCCCCCCCCCAAATCTATAGGTAAAATGATGCAAAGACTGTCAACAAAAGGGATATGAGAAGGAAGACCAAACAGCAAAATTAATTAAACATTTTTTAAAGAGAAAGCTTTGCAAACTTAAAAGCAAAAAAGGGGGAGAATCGTGACGGCTAAAACAGAAAATGAAGGGACAGCCTTTTTTTTCCATAAATCAGCATACATATATAAATGAAAATATATACATAAATGAATAATTAGATACATACGAAATATATAGACAAAATTGTATACAACAAAATATATACATAAATGAAAAATTAATTAAAGCAGTGTAAAATCCAGATAAATATATAAACAGATGCACAATTTGTTACAAATGTAAGTAAACACTATAGTGACTAAATAATTGAACATTACATTGATGTGAATAGAAGGAAAAATAACAATCAGAATGACATAAACATTGTAGGATTAACAGTAAACAATAAAGTCTCAGTCATTTACATGTATAAGTTGCATAATTCACTTCATGTCATTAAGAATAGAATTACATTTTGCCTATGTTCCCTTGTGTTCTTGATCCATGTTGGGAAGGGAAAGCCTTCTATTCCAACCAGATGTTAAATAACATCTGGAATGAAAATAAAAATAAAATCCAAACAAATGGCATCAAGGTATTGCTTTGCAAACTGTGTTAGCCTTTACATGTACAGGGAAGAAGAATAGCCAAAATAAGTACTAGCCATAATTCTAGGTATGTACAGTTATGCATAAAAAATAATTATTTAAAACAGACCAAATAAATTACTTTGTCATCTTGGCATATACACAGTCAAAATATTTAAAAGGAAAATTTAAAAAATATGAGCAATTTAATTTCATTTGCAGTCAAGATGACCAAAAGGGGCCATGTACTTTTAGATACAATTTATATGACAGTAAACATAAATTCTTTCTATATTAACTATTGGGACAAAATAAAAAACACATTGTTTATTTTCTCCATTTTGACATTCCTCTTCTCATAGTTATTTTTATAGGTATTTAGGTTTCCGATTAAGATATGGTTTCGACCAAGGCAGATCAAAAATTTTTCTTGCTCACAAGTTATTGCAAATTTTGCTGCTTTATTCACATTGCCATTTCCTAATATTCTTCCAGGCATTTCCTGTGCTTTTACTCAAGATATTGTGAAGCAAATAATGGGATGAGATGCTGTAATAGCAGAAGTTTATTATATTATTAGTAACTTATTTTTTATATTTTTCAATGCTGGTATTCAGGATTTAGCAGTCTGTGTATATTTTAACATTTTTGTGATTATTTTCAATGCAGTATATGCGGGCCATTTTGCTTTCGGAGATTTTTGCTTGAAATATAATATTTTCATTTTGTAAGCGATTTTTCAAGAATTACTTTATTTTGATGAGCTTTTAGAATAACACAAGTACCTGTTACACCTGTTTCCATTTTGCAAGCATCTTTATAAATACACGTATGTGATTCTTTGTGTTTCAGATTGAATAGTAGATTTTTGTATGTGTTTGATAAGGGTTATATGAGGAATCATATTTCTTCTTTTATATTATAATTTTTTATGAGTTTTAAGATACCTTCGTTTGCAAGTTTAGTCTGTGCTGTGATGTGCAAGGGGGTGTTCCTACCAGTACACAGAGTGCTGAGTTAAATGTAGTTTTATAGCATCTTGTTGTTTGAAGGAGAAATGAATGATGACCAATTTATCAAAAGAATGCCAATCTAAATATGAGAAATTTTTGGCAGCCATGATTCTTCTATTGCTGCAAGAATAGTTTCAAAACAATATTTGGGTCCCTTACAATTCCATTTCATAAATTAAGCAAGCTAGGACTCCAAACAGCATGTTTTGAAAAATTGTTTCGGTGTCTCTAGAATAGCAACCAAAAATATTCCCTTGTTTCATTCTGCATGTCACCAAATTTCTATTAGGAAGCTCATTTATGCATTTTTTCATAAGTTTAAAGAGTCTCTGATTGATATCAATAATCTTATTAGTCCTCCAATTTGGATATTTGATTGGATGTTTGGAACAAATCTCTTCCATAAATGTATTCTAATCAAAGATTTTGTTATTACAAATTTTTGTTTCTCACACATCTTCATTGGTGACATTTCTTCTGATTAATAACAGGTAAAATGTAATGCAATAACACAGGACTTTTTAATCTATAAAAGTAGTTGCTATTATGGATTTTCTTAATTTTTAGACAGTATTTAACTGTACAATACCATGTAGGTTTGTTGCAGAGTTTCTTTTCAAGATCATTCTTACAAAGCCTAGTGTATGGTAGAATTTCCTTTCCTTGAGAAAAAAAGAATAGTATCTTTTTCAGTTGGTGGTATATTAAAAATAAGCAACATGTTCATATAAATTTTAAAAAGCAGATGAAGTATCACTATAATGAAAAATTGAATATGTGATATTAACACATAAAAGCCCAAACACATATGCATAGAAAACATGTGGAAAATTTAGGGTTGCTGTAATATTTACAGATGAAGTGAAATTTTAAAAAGTAGGTAGAAATCACTATAAGAAAGAATTGAGCATGAGAAGCTAACACATAAAAGACAAGAGGTATACATAAAGGAAACATGCAAACAAAAATAAGCCTGCTCTGTGAGAAGTAACTGTAGATGATTTTTGTCTAAATCTACTAGTACTGCTTTACACATAAATAGTAAAATAGGATATTTGAAAGAATCATTACTAAATTGATGGAGCATATTTTTAAATACTATTTTGTTTAGCTTTCTTAATTACTGTGAAAATAAATATCCTTTTCATTGAAGTACTTTTTTTGCATAATCATCTTAATATTATTTTACATGATATATATTGCTAACTTTTTTCCTACAGCTAAAAGTCTGGAAATATTTCAATTTTCTTGTTATGTAGATGAAATTTATTTTTAGCAACTAAATTTGAAACTAGAATAACAAAACTTACATAAATATTTGTTCAGTTTTCTTCTCTATAATTTGCAGAGGAACTCATGCTACCAACTTGGTTAAGTGCTTTTCAAGTTCAGATGAATTGCAGCTACATCCATCTGACCATTTTGTGTTATCACCATTTGCAGTACAAGAGCTGTCAATGAATGTTAGGTCACTTTTGCCTGGAATAAAGTAATTAAAATATAATAATTTATTTTAAGTTATATCTATGTCTAACAAGTTTTGAGCTTTTTTAATCAGAAATTTAGCTTTTGTAATAACTAGTTTTTAGAAAGTTTGTCTGCCTTCTGTTTAATATACTTACATACTCTACCTCTAATGATGAAAATAACTGAAGATCCCAACAAACTTGTGACAGTCATATTAATAAAAGTTTAAAACAGCATATCAGTTTTTATTTATTTAGATACTTAAAAGATACAAATTATGTTGTTTGGCATAAATCTTTTTATTGAATGATGTATGCTTTGTCAGTAATTTTTCATGTGATATCTCCATTGTTTATCAACTTTCAAGTAATATCGCACCTCATTAATGCCTTGCTTTTTATGGCAGGGTCCTATAACTTATAGTAAATACTCTAGTGGTTGCTCTTCCATAGAAGACAGATCCCAGATTTCATTTTTTCCCCCCCAAATGCGAAAGAAAACAAAGAAATAGCAGTTGCACATCCTTTTTTTTACAAAAACTCAAATTGGCTTAGCGAAGATTAATTAGAATTCACTTGAGTATACTTATTATGCTTATCCATTATTGGTATTTAATCGTGATGTTTAGTAACACTTTGTTCAAAATGCTTGAGAGTTTGTAAATATCCCATTTACATGCTCTCAGTCATTTAATTTGGTCTTGTTATTAATCATTGTAGCTCTTTCTTCAAAAATGCCTGCGATAAGTTTATAAATGTTTTGATCCATATAGCAAACTTATTCAAATTAATTTTATTTAAGGAAATTATAATTTCTTATATTTATTCCTATGAATTATTTATGTGATAGCTATTTATTTAGCATTAATTCAGAATTTATTTGTAATTTGTACTAATCGTATATTTAAGAATATTTTTAACTGTTCCTATTAGTCAGAAAATAACTCTAAGCACTTGCATAATGTGCTACTGTAAAAAGGTGATAGATTTGGGAAATATTTTGTACTATAGAAATATAAATTTAAAATAATGTATAAGAGAAGTAAGTTAATTAGGCAGTTTTTAGTATTTTTCTGTTTATTTCATTTTTAGGCATTTCCAAATCACTATGGTAAATCAAGCTCTAGAACAAGTACTTCAGTCGTGGCTTCTTGTACTCTCATGTCAAAAGCCATTCGTATCTAAAGCTTTTCAAGTTCATATTTCTGTTGGAAAAGAAGCTACTAAGGTTGGTACAATAAAATGTTTTGTTCTTTTTAATTAATATGTTGTTTTTAATTAAAAATATGTGAGTATCATTATCAGAATCTTCAGAATTCACATGTGCAGTATATAAAACATTTATCATTATTTATATTATTTTTAATATTATTTGATTCTCCTATTAGATTATTATATCAGTAAAATTAAATGTATATATTGTTGTGGGTTACTGGTTCATTGATATCTCTTTGTATGAATACTCCATAACAGGAAGAAATTAACAATTTATTATAAAAGTTGATAACAAACTACGCAATAAGTAACTTCAATTTAAGCAAAATGCAGATGTTAAACAATTCCTTTGTGTACATGAAAAATCGGCTGTTGTCAAAATTACTTACAGAGTAAACTCACAGAGTGGTTAATGTAAAAACAACTTGCCTGAAAATCTAACTGTCAAAAACAAGTCTGAGTTACCTGAGCTATATTTATAGTGTGTCAAAGGCATGGATGGATCTGTGCCATGTGAAGAGTATATCAGTTTGAACATTGCCATGCTTAGAACAACAAAATCAAAAATTCCATATAAGAAACAAACAGTGATATAAAAAATATATAGCCACAAATATAAAACACATAAATAAATAATTAAATTAATACACAATATTACAAAAAATGCAATGAAAAGGATTTAAATATTTTCAGATATATATAACATTGCATCATCTTTAACGACTGCACAACGCAGGCAAGTGCAATCCCCATATCCAAGGACAACTTTCTCTCTTGATATTTCTCTTTCTGTGTAATTATTTTGTAGACATACATGTGACTTTTACTGAGTGCGATATTAAAATTTATTAGAAAACATTTATATAAAACAGTTCGAAACATACATTGGTTGTCTGGAAAAAATTCATATTTAATAAATGTTCTTGAGAATTACTTAAACTGTGGGGGGAAGAGCAATTTTTTTATCCAAGCACCAGTGACAGCTGCAACAGTATTGTGTTTCCTTTAGTTTGACAGTAAGATTGGGTAAAAATGTATTCTGAGTAGCATTGCTCAAATGCATAATACATAAAAGTTCATAATTATGTAAAATTAAAAAATAATGCATAAAAATGTAATATCAAATTGATAAATTTATTAAATCAATTATTTAAAACTAACTGAGAAAAACACTTATTTAAAAAATTTCTTATTGAGTGTTCAAAGCATGGAACAGGTGGTAATCTATGGGGGCTAAGTCAGGTGAGTACAGTAGATGGCACAGGGTCTTCTAGCCAAGTGACTGAATGGTATCCTTAGTTGTCATTGCCACATGTCTCAGATTGTCATGGAGGTACAGTACCTCCTTGCCATTAATCAAGGCTGGCTCCTCCTGCTGCAATGCTTGTTGTTACCATTGCAACTGTTGTGAGTACAAGTCTGCAGTGATGGTAGTAGCTCATAATGCTCCACTTGGCGATTAGCCCGCCAGGCACAGAGTTGATCTTGCATCGGTGCAGAAGTAATCTTGAGGTGTGAGGCACAGGATTATGTGGTGACAACCAATGTCTGGTATGTAATATCATACTGGACCCACTTTTAGTTATTCATGATCACTAAACCAATTATGAGTATGTTGCAATGTCAAGACAACAAGGACAAAGAGGCTGCTACTTGTTGGTGCCTTGTTGGTTGCTATCAATGCAAGGGATACCACTTATTACACTTGTACACCTTCACCAGGTGAAATCTGACTGTTTCCATGTAAACTTGGCAAGTTTACCATTTGACTGCCGTCCTTCTCTGTAATTGCCTGCGGGACGTCATCATCCAACAGCTATGGTTACCCATTGTAGGTTCCATCATAAAAGCTCAGATCTCCTGATCTGAAAGTGTTTTTATTCATGGCATCATCCCAAAATGTGTGAAGTATTTGATGCTTTAACAGATCAATCTTAAGTCATATAGCAAACAACCATGAATAAGTTGCTTTGAATGACCATTTCTGTCTGACATAGATGACCTGTGATTGCTGCATGTGTGCAACATGCTTGTATTGGTGGAGGTAAGTGGTTACGCTAACTCTTCACTGCTTTTCTGGCATGTGAGTCACTTCATTTTCTTTCTGAAAGTGTTTGATAAAATGGGATGTCGAAAACCTCTTTGGTTATTGCTAATAATTCAAAAATTGTGTTTCTTGTGACTGATTGGTTTTAAATTACTATTGCACTTTCATAAATCTTAGCAATTAAAAATGGATATTAGTACAAATTCTATGTTGAATTCTCATGGATAAAGTTAGGCAGAAAACTAGGTGTTGAATAATGTAGCCATTTTTTTTCTCCTTATGACAAGCTAGTATATTTGTTTTATTGTTAATATAAATAAATCAGCTTAAAATATCCCAATATTTATTTTATTGAGAAAGAGTAGTCAAGAGATAAATGTTTCCTTTATGTTCCCTTCAAAATATTTACTTTTGATAATTATGTAATTGTGCAAGTATTCATAAAGTCGCTGGACAAAATTTGCTGTTTCATAATTTTTTTAAATTTATTTATTACAAATTAGGGCATTGGATCTTTTAATCATAGCCCATTCAACTTGGATTTTAACCCTCAAAGTATTACAAGTTTGGCGTAGGAATTTTAAAATCGCCTAGAATGTCATGAATGAATGGTATTTCCTTGGTCATAATTCCAAAACGGCCTTATCACTTTGTACATTGATTCCTTTTTTCCACTATACATCCAGCCTTGCCTCTTTGTCGTCCGTAACGCGTCTAGCGCATTCAAGTGAAACTTCCGCAGGGCGGCCGTAACGTGCCTCAAGCGTTCTTCTACATTTTAAAACTTTTGAACGTTTAAAACGTGTCCTAAATGTTTACTTGTTTGAGTTTTTATTTTTGTTTGTTCTAATACCTCCTAGAGGATAGCACTAATCAGACATTCTATTTCTAATTGAATTTGCCCCGTGTTTTATGAATATTCGCGCCATTTTACATAAGATACAAGATAGTGAGAGATAGCTTCAACGTCTACTCAGCAGAAAAAGAGAAAAAATGAGGTTGTGAATTGGAAAGACAAGAAGGATATATGTTTGATGAGTACAGTCCATAATAACTTAATGATTAATGTTGGAACACGGAAAAGAACTGTAAAAAAACCAATAATTGTAAAAGATTACAACAACAAAATGGGAGGAGCGGACTGCCTGGATCAGATGTTATCAAATTATCCTGCTGTTAGAAAATAAACAGAGATATTATTATTTTCCCATTATGCTTTATTTCCTTATAATGTTACTTAATATTCATTGACATTCATCCACTATGAACGTCATGTATGGAAAGTTATGATGTACAGGGAAAACAATATTACACGCTATGAAAAACAGACAGCCGCTGGGGTGGGGGATTTTCGCGGACAGGAGAGGACGGCGAAAGGGTTAAATTGGATGCATCTAAGAGCTGGTGGAAATTTTCATGTGTAACAAATTGGAAAGCTCTCCTTTTGTGTGGAATTTTATGTCTATAACTGTTTGAGGGTTAAGTTATAAAACTCAGATGGAGATAAGTCAGGTGAACGTAAGTCAAGTTTAGTTGTTTTCGCATTATATTTTAGTGGAACCAATTTTTATGGAGGAGTATGAATTGAATACAATACCGCATGAGTTTCATTTCAAATTCTGGTGACACAATATGCATATAACAGAAAACATTACTGTTGCTGGAAGAGGAATGTCACTTGAACAGGTCTAAATTTTAATATTGTAATGTTTTGCTTATTCATGTTGCTTTTCACTATTTCATGTTGAAGGCAATGACTCCAGGAACTTTCTGCTTTATAGGCCTAAACTTTGTATTCACAGTGTTGCCTAGCTTTCACCGCTTTAAACACATTCCTCTCTCCATTTTCTCCCCACACTTCTCTGAAATAGTATCCTCCTTTGTCAAGGTTATTGTGATGTTGTATTCCAAAGCTTTGCGAATAATTTTACGGATAGCAGCGCAAAGAAATGATAGTATTTTGGAAGGGCTTATATATACGCTCGGGGCAGTTAATGCATCAGCTGAGCAAGGCATATATATACGCCCGCGGCAGTTAAGGGGTTAAATAAAGTGCCTGGCCATTAAAAGAAAAAGTGTATTCACAGCATGTGTACAAAATTTTAGGATAGAATACTTAAAATATGAAGAGTTTTTTTTTTTTTTTTTTTTAAATATCAGTGCTTTTTCTTATATATGTATTCATGTTAAATGCCATATTTTTTTAAGAGTCAATTGTTGAAATGTTTTTAATTTCTTCACGTATGTATCTGTGAGTTCATAAAATACCGTTAAAGCTTTCTTTTGACTTTTTGATCCAGGCGATATGATTGTGGTAGTTTTATGCTTTCTACACATTTTCCGGCTCTTTTTTGTATCCATGGTACTAGTATTTTGGAAAAATTAAAGAATGTTTTTGCCAGCCCTAATACTTATTTCATAAAAATGTGTTCGATTAATGTAACAGTCTTAGTCCTTTTTGTTGCTATGATATTCATTACAGAAATTAAAATAAATAAATATCATCAATAAAAGTTAGAAAAAGTAACAAAGATTCAGTAGTTTTGCTATTCTTTAGTAGCTTTGCTGCAATTCAGTAGCTTTGCTATCCATAGTCAATGAAATATTTTCAAATCCATGAGAAGTGAAATTGTTTGCTCTGATTAATTTTTATATTATTGTAGTCCAAATGCACTTAGCAAATTCGATAATTAACAGGGTTCGTACGGTCCTTAAGTTTTTTGGAATCGATTTTTGGTCCTTAAAAGTCCTTAATTTCGGTTAAAATCGACAGAAGGTCCTTAATTTTAATCATCTGAAATTTCTGTCTGCTTTTACCACTGCCATTTTGAGTATGAATTAACATTTTGGAAGAACTTTTTTGGGGCGATTTGCTGACAAACATGGTATCTTTTGAATGGGTTTATTGGTTATAATTTGTTCCTATTTCTATTATAAATGGTGGGATACTCGAGTTTCTGAGCAAGAAGTGAAATATAAGCATTTCGAAATTATTTAATTTTTTCTAATGAAGAACTCTTAAACAACTTTTTGCTTTTTGTTATGTGAATTCTTTAATTAAACCGTTCTAAGTTTGGCGACTTATCAAGATTTTGGCGATTTTAAGATCTGATTTTTTGTAGAACATTGTAACATTGATAACTTTCATTTGAATAGTGGTAATAATTTAGAATTATATTTATGAATATAAAAATAAAGCATTTTTATTTTTTTGCTGTGATATTATAAAGTTCCGTTACGGGCCATTTATTATATGTGGAAAATAAGCAAGGTATATAATGCTATAAAGCACCATTTACGAAACAGTTCTTAGCAAAAGCAAACTAGCTATGCAATTAATTAAAAATATTTTTTTAATATTTTCATGGTAAGAGTTTTTTTTCCATGTAATCGTCTCAGAATATTCAGATTTCTCAAAATAGGCATCAGTTTTCTCCAGAGCTTAAATTGCGCCGGAGCGCTGCTCCGGTCCTCTAGAGCCCTAAATAAGAAAGCTATGACACTTCTTTTATGTACCTGAACAAAATTTCAGTAGAAATTTGATCTCGAAAATTTTATTTTTAATAATAAAATTATATTAAAAATCGCGTATTAAATTTTAATTTATCTCTTCCTATTTTAAATTTTTTATCTAAGCTATTTAATTTCTTTAAGCATTAATTACTGAATTATTTTAATAATTAATATTAATATTAGTCATTTTTATTTATTTATTTTTACACCTCTTTCCTAACGGTGCTCCAAGGGGCTCCAGCACATCTAATTTTAGAAATTAAACCCTGTTTTTCTCTTTAAAACTAGTTTTACACTTTTTTCCCTACGTTTTTTTTTCCAAAATATTTCTGGCTTTATGCTATTACAGAATTGGTAGGGGTACTTTTTTTTAGGATTTTAGACATTGCAGCTTGAAAAGTTTAGAAAGATATGATGGCAAGATTTATAGACCCACGATTCTAGGAGATTCCAGAAAAATGTGACAAACTGAAAAATGTCTCCTAGTATTAACACGTAATTTCTTAATTTTTGAAGAACGTCTGGAAGAACAATGAATACATTATAGTTGAATGTTTTACTTCTGATACTAGAATCGTTTTCTTAACATTTTTATCTTCCCTTTATTTTCTCTACTTTTCACTAGACACAAACATGGAAAATATCAAAAATGCTTCTAATCTTATCATATGGAAAGGCATTGTAGAAAGGAATTCTTTTATTAATAAAGAAATTGAAAACTGACCATTTAAAAGATTCATCTAATATGTCTTAATGCATCATACACAGGGCTGGCACTAAACATTTTCTCACCTGATGCAGTCTCTGTGGATCTTAAATTCTGCTGTCTGGTGCCTTCTAAATTCTGCTTCCAATGCCTGTTCTAAATTATAAAAGTTTTGCCATTTCTAGACTTTGTTGCTTAGTGTGTTTTTCGTATGCATTTTATATTTATGTAATGAAAATTTAATATGCCATATTTTATCTGATTAATCTTATTTATTTATTATTTTTAACTTTCAGCGAATCACATATACAAATTCTTATCATCAGAGCCGAAGTTTTGTTCTGCATTCTAGTCATCCACATCTTCTGAGGTTAAAAGAGTACTTATTTACAATCCCTGCTGGGAAAAATTACTACATTGGACTATATTTCCCACCTCAGGACTTTGTTTTCACTGAAACTCTCTTTCTGTATCTCAATGATTCTGAGGATAAAAATGAAGAAACATATTGTATTAAAGTTATATGCCAATGAAATATATCCAGGAATCATTTATAATGTATGTGATATGAGCACTGAAGTCTGTATAGAGTAATATTTGAAAGAGTTGTATTAACATTTTATTTGCCAGTATTCTTTATCTGAAACATATCCAGAAAAATATATATATATATATATAACAATTTATTTATATAAATTATATTTTCAGTGAACCTGATTTTTAAAATAATTTTTTTCCATTAAAAAGGTAATATATTTTTATTACTTCTTGGAAGTAGATGTGTTTTAAGCATTTCTGATTCCTTTGAAATTTCTAGACATGAAAACTTCAGAAGTTAAAAATTCAGACATATTGATATCGATAAAGTTGTGAATTTTTTTTTTGCACTGTTAATGAGCTTGCTAAGTTTATAAGCTTGTCCTTAGACCTTAATGACTTTGATGTTTGTCATATTAATCTAAAGTACAAATGAATGCATTGCAGTAAAGTAGATGAGAGACAAATGCAGGTGTTCTAAAATGACAATAGGCCAAAAAATATATTGAATTATTCACTTTCAGCTAAATTGTGTATAGTTATATTTTTTCTGTAATTAGTTAATAATATAACAAAAAATATGAAAATGTTAACAAAAATAATTATATTTGAATTTATGAACATTCACCTGATGCATCATTATTCACAAATAAGAAAGCCTTTTTAATTCTTATAATGATTAATTAAGCTGACTGTTAGACCGGATGGCTTAGATTTTTGTAATGTTTTCTGTATGTATGTCTTTGCCTCCTCTTTTTAAGGTGGTGGTATTAGAGGGTTGCTTCCTCCTTGCGGTCTGCACCAAGTGATGCTTTCAGTGATGAGACATGATTAATGGTTTCAGCCATTTCCTAAAGCTTTGTTCACATGGTGGTTTTAAAATCATAAGTGGTCTAATATGAGTTTTGGGCAGCCAGACATTGCTGTTTCAGAAAAACTGGTTTAAGGATTTTATCTTAATTTTCTAACCCATAGCTTAAATTGCACTGGTACTTCTTAGTTTTGGGGATATATTCTAATTCTAACCAGAGTGCACCGGAGCCCTAAAAAGAAGGCTCCGGCACTTTTTTATGTAACTGAGCAATTATTTCAGCAGAACTTTGATCTAGAAAATTTTATTATATGAAAAATCGCTTATCAAATTTTAATTTATCTCTTTACATTTAAATTATTTAATTACTTTAATTGTTTTAATAAATAATTATGAATTAATTAAATAATAATGAATAGATATTAATCATTAATATCAATTTAATAATTATCAAATAATTTGATACTCACTATTTAATTTTAAAATTATTAATGATTTTAATAGTCATTTTATTTTTTTATTTACACTTGTTCTTTTTTCCTGACAGTCTTCCATAGGGCTCTGGTACTTCTACTTTTAGAAATTAAGTCCTGGTTCTAACTTTTCAACTTTATGCCACTTGGTATAAGAACCAACCAATCCCAATGAAGCAAACATCAGTCGGTGGTTTCACTGAGTCTGCTACAGTTTATGCTTGTGCAACTTTCCCTTTCTAATTGACTGTGGCTTAAACTCTGATTAACAGGTTGAATGGCCGTAATGACTTTTATGCCTTAACGATGACAAAACTGTCGTCTGAACGAAGCATAACTATGCTTTTAAGCAAGTATTCAGTCATTGAATTAAAAGTGCTTTAGAAGAGTGGTGTTCAAAATCTGCCTTAATTAATGTATATGTGTTTAAATGCAGTTAGGGAAAAACTTAAAATTTATAACATAGTTACTATTTGTAGCATATGCTGTTTGTAAAAATTTGTACAAAGTGGGCATAAAAATACTTCTCCGATATATAAATCCCTAGTGGCCTGTTCACGCAACTAATTGAAATGAAATTCCAGATATTGTTATTTTGAAGGAATTTGCTCTAGATTGGGTTAATTTAAAATAATAGAGAGCTCTTATGATTACAGTGAAAAAAAAATTCCAAATTTTCGGATGGCAGCACCCACTTTTTTTCCTGCACAAATTGATCAGTGCATTAAAAAAACATAAATGGTTTGGAAACGGTACACGTTCGACGAAAACTGTTGGCTTAAAACAACTCGCAAAGAAGAGCATTCCAAAGGGCCAATGATAATACAGAAGAGGAGATAGGGTGAAACTTTTATTGGAATTGCAAGTTTTCCACGCGCGCACCTTCACAGCCAATAATACATTCCATGTGGGAGATTGCTGAAAATGTCGACCGTAACACCGCAATAGGAATTTGTATAACTTAACGTTTTATTCCATCTTTCAATTCTAACAAATCACGTGGATTTGATGTGTACGTCCTCTTTTGTGATGTCATTGGTCCTTTACAAACCTTTTTTTTTTTTTTTTTTTTTTTTTTTTTGCAATGTTTGCTGGCATAAAACATTTGCAATGTTGCAAATGTTTTATGCCAGCAATTGTCATCACACTTATATCATTCCAATGTCATTTATGGTTTTTCTGTGCGCTGATCAATTTGCGCTGGAAAAAAGTGGTTGTCACCGTAATAAAAATAATGATGACACTGAGGGGAAAATGTATTTTAAGATGAGAAATTTTTATATTCCAAGTTGGGTAAAAAAGACACGTTTTCATCTTCGTAACCGAATATTAATTCTACATGTATTTTAGACTTAGTTTTAAGTTTTTCATCATAGATCTGGCTACAATTCGAATTTAAATAATACGTTATAGTGTGGATATTTTTCTTTATAGTTAAAAGTGATTCTATCTCCATGAACCTTGTTAAGAAAATTAAGGCTTCATTCGAATATAGTAATTGTTATGAGGCTGTGCGGTTAGATGGTGGAGCTATATTAAGAATCCAACTGAATTTTCACAAGATAAAATCAAGTTGTAGTATATGTGTAGTGATTAAAGGTATACAAGAAAATCCAAAATATTTTTGTAAAGTGTTTCATGTGGCGCTACGAGCTTCCTGTCTCTGGAGTTATTCAGTAACTGAATTCTGCCTGTAAGCCTAACAATTATGCACTTGCCTAATAATTATGCTTGTAATCCTTGTATTATATGTAAATAAATTTATGCCTGTTAACAAAAAAGCGGAACCATCACTTACATCTGGATTCTATGCTTAATGGAAATCTAATGAAAATTAATGTAAATAATTACAATATGTGTGTTGGTAATATAAATGAATACTTCAGTGGAATAAAGGAAAGTGTTCTGCTTATATTTATGTACATGTCTGTATCATAAAATAATTAGAATTCAATATTTTTTGCGTGTATTTGAATTAAACTGCCTAGAAATGCCCATGCATTAATTAAAATACACTTTATGATATGAAAATTTATTTATTTCTAAATCATAAGATTTGATTCAAAGTCAACAGATTTTACAATAAAGAAATTTGTTTATGTCTGTATTCTTCTTTATTGGACAGTCCAGGGTGGGCTGTAGCCTTCTCCAGGCATTTTTGCTTTTGGCGATCGTTTTCCAGTTTTTGACTTTTAGAATGTTTAGGTCATTTTTAACATAATCCATCTTTCTCCTCAGGGGTCTACCCTGAGATCTGGCTCCCATGGACTTTGCCAGAAAGATTTTCTTATAATACCGATCTTCATGCATTCTGGCCATATGATCAGCCCATTCAAGTCTCTGTATTTTGAAAAATTTTACTACATTAGGTTGTCTATAGATATTGTATAGCTCAAAATTTGATCTTCTTCTCCACGATCCATTCATATGGACCCAAGTATGCAATGGAATATCCTTCTCTCAAAAATCCACAAAGCTTCCTTATCATATAAAGTCAGTGCCCAAGCTTCCGATGCATAAGTCAAAACAGATCTTTTTAAGACTTTTGTGAAGAAGTAATTTAGTTCTTAACCTTAGAATGCTGGATTTTAAATAGCTCTTCAAAACATGAAAACATCTATTTGCAGCAGAGATTCTTTTAAGTATTTCATAAGTTATCTCATTTTTGCAATTTATCTCTGTTCCTGGATAAGTGAAAATGTAGACTTTTTCATGTCTATTTGAAAATGAAGAAAATCCTTTTTACTTCCTTGTACGAAGTAAAGGACATATTGTAATCGCGAAAAATTTCGGGTATTATATTTCAACAAAAATATCCATTTTGATCACTCTCGAATCCATATCTGAATGATATTTCCTTTGTTTAAGTACGGACAGAATAAAGGACTCTTTTTTTTTTTTTTTTTTTCTAAAACGGATTGTTAAATGGATTCAGAAAAGACTTTTTCGTGACGTACATGTACATGTATCTCGCGTAACTAAAAAACGAGTAGCCTTAAAATGTTGAAATTTTGCACGTGGGACTGCTTATAACATGTAGTTGTGCACCTCCCTTTTTGGTTGCAATCGGTCGCACCAAAAGTATACAAATATATATATAATCTAGCTTTCAAATAATAAATTAATAGCCTTTTAACTTCCGTTTTAGAGATTACTCTAAAAATAACAGTAATAAATTTTTCTCCGAGCAGCTCTGATGCGCGCTTACCGATGAAATCTGAACACAAAATCATGTACATTAAAGTGTCATGTGATCTCAAATGGAATTTGGTATAAAAAGGGTAATTACATTGCAACTTCCTTTCTTCTCTTCGCTTGCTTCTTCTGTCTGTGTTGATAGCTAGGCAAAGTTTACTTTCTTAAATTTGTCCATTGCTTAAGGTGTAAGCTGAACAAAATAAGGAGGTGCATAGCGCACCCACAGTGATAATGTTCACTATCGAAAAAATAAAATTATGTGTGGAATCATAAATTAAGTCAATTTCTCCACCTTCAGTGCATTTTTGCCGAGTGGGACCAAAAGTAAACTCAGTTTTGTGCGCCGAAAAATCTGCCTTCTTACCCTCTGGCCGAATTGCTTGTTTCTGCGTATCTACTTTTAATTGTAAAAATTGTTTTTTTAACTCTTTTAACTGTATTTGGTGTTTTATGTTTTTCTGTATTTTACTATTTTTAGAGATGTTTTGAGTTTTTATGTATTTTTGCCTTGCAACGAAGTAAGAACAGAATTAATTGAATGAAAAACATATCTCTAATGCAGTATTTCTCAAACTTATTTCTTCGCCCCCTTTGAATATCAATTATTTTTCATCGCCCCTCATTTTTTATACACTCCTGAAACTTAAAAACCACAATTTCATTACTTTAATTAATTTAATAGTTATAGTGTGCTATATTAGTCGGTTTTGGTGTTTAAACTTACATTCTAAACTAGAAATTTTTACCAGTGAGAGCAATTAAACGCAACTTTATAATATTAATAATATAATTTTAATCAAATTAAAAGAAACAATATAGATAAGTAATCAATTTTAGTTTTTAAACTAATCTAATGGGATGGATGAATTTGATGATTTTAACAAGTTTGTTGATATCAGGATCGATTTTACTCAAAGACTGTCGTAAGTCGCCGCATTTGGTAACTTGCAATTGATTTCTCTTTTTAGTAAGCAGCGTTGTCACAGCGCTAAATCCACGTTCACACAAATATGACGATGGGAATGATATCAAAAATTGTTGAACAATCGACCACAATCCAGGGTACAACTACGGAATTGACTTTTGTAGCCAAAATTGTTGGTAGCCATTTTTAAATTTGCTTTTTATTTCCTCGTTCATTGTCAGTTCTATAAGTTCTTCTTCTAGCTGGGGTGATATTGCTATGTTAACTTTTGAAAAAGGATCTAACACCCAGTCTGGTATATCAATTTCAAAATGTTCTGGAATCTTTCAATGAAATCACTGTGAAGACTTTCCAAATGTTGGCAGTAGACGAGCAAGTCATCGTTGTTGCAGGATACTGATAAATTGGGAAAATTATGGAACTCACGCCTGCCGATATTCTTCTTGTGTAAGAGCAGGTTGGCTACGAAAGCAGCGACGATATTTTTTTGTTTTTATTAAGTTCAAGTCATCGCCTTGAAGTTGGAGATTCAAATCATTAAACAATGTATAAAAGTCTGTCAGGTATGCGATATCATTCTTTGATGTGATGAGGTTTTCGCGCAATGCTGTGTCTTTGTTTTCCAAGAATTCTATGACAGAGTCAAACAGATTGTAAAAACGAGTCAGACAATTTCCTTTTGATAGCCAACGCACTTCTGTGTGAAAGATCAATCTGTTGAAATCTTCATCATTAGCGACAGAAAGCTGATTAAATAATCTGTCATTTAAAGAGTTGTTTCGGATTTTATTGACTGCTCTGATGGCATGTTG